TTTCTAAGGTGTTTCTGTTGCTGGAGACTCCCACCTTCCAGTGATTTGTGACTTTATAATTTGTCAGAAAAAGTTCTAGGGACAGCCCTGCCCTGAATTGCACGTGGGGTCCTGGGGTTCTGCTTAACATTTCCTTCCAGCTTTGTACCAGGTGTGCTGTCTACATGCTGATTACAGGCAGTTGTACTTTCCTTGGCAGGATTAGGGACACTTGTGGAGGCCGGGCTCACCCCTGAGCAAATAAAGACACTCTCCCTGAGGTGGCTCCTGTGTACGCTGTTGGCGGCCACCTGACTCAGTTTTCACGTCTTCTGCTCCCACCTTCTCCTTTGTCTTCTTTGAATTTGGATAACCTTCTCTGGTCCAAGCTTCTGTCTTCGGTCAAATGCTGTTTTTACTGCTTACTAAGAATAGATGGTCAAGAGGTTTCGAAGCTCAGCAAGCTCAGTGACACCCGAAACAACGAATGCTGGCGTGCTGTTGGGTAAGGAGCTCTGTGCTGTCACCTCTAAGCCACGCTGCTCGACCTCGAGGCCGCAGGGCTGGGATCCCTTGCGTGTCTCGCTGCGTCTGATACCTCAGCGACATTGGTGAGGAACCTCTGCTGTCCGAGAGCCAGCTGCGCGCAAGCAGGCCCTGAGGGGTGAGTGGACTCGGATTTGTGTCTGAGCCAATTACACGTAAAACGTGCTGCACACACGCCACCTTCCTTTGTGTCACCGTTTCTCCAAAGCCGCACTCCGTGGTCGTGACCCAGCCAACGCGGGCAGCGCCGCTCACCACTGGTCTTGGACGAGTTACCTTCCCTCCACCATCAGAGAGCCTCTTAAATTCCAGCAGTGTTTTCTTGTGGTGTATTTTGGGGGCGGGATGACATGTCAGGGCTTTTGTTTAGGAACGGAATGAGAAAGGTGTTCAATGTGTTCTTATCGCAGAATTCAAGTTGTGAATAGGGCCCACTTCTAACAGACGTGGCCTCTTCCTACCACGTGATCCATAAGGCAGAAGCTCTCACTCTGTAAGAGACATCATGAGTAGTGTCCCTGTTTGTTTGACCAGCAGACATTAGGTGCGTGGCTTGTGCTGCACGTCTGGAATAAATCCATATATGGTGCTCCTAGTCTTTGGGATCTGTTTAGGCTTCTCAGTAACTCTGGTCTGAATCCTTGGGGATTGACCAGCAGGTTCCATCTTTTGCCCTCTCAGTTCACCTGCTTGCCTTAATTTGTCCCTAAATTCAGCTAAATTTAAATAAAAGTAAGAGGGGCTTGTCAAGGATGTGCCCAGTGAAAAGCACTGAGCAGCGTGCCCCGTTCTGGGCGGGGGTGTAGGTAAGGGCATGAGCAGCCAGAGGGCAGCAGGAGTTCCCGGGGAGCAGACGGCCTGGAATTATATGGTGTTGCCTCCCCAGATCCTCCCTGAACATGGGTATAATCTGGGGAATCCAGGGCTCCTCTGTGCAAAGGTTATATTTTTAATAGACTGATGATCATTTCTTGACACTGGGTCGGTCATGTGGCTTTCCTCTAGGAGGCTGGTCCCCTACTTTGTCTTGGTCAGTTTTCTGCATTCTCAAATGCCGATCCAAAAACGTGGCCGGATTGGATGGAGAACGTCCACCATGTTCCTCGGCGTTGGCGCCTGTCACCTGTCCCTCAGTGCCGCTCCCCTTCCCCACCAGGCCACCTGGGCTCAGGCAGCCCTGCTTCCGTTCCAGAATGTGTCGTCTCTTTGTGTTCACACCTGAATGGGGTTCTTGTCTCCTTTTTAAAATGTTCTTGCCATCTTCCAAAATGCTTTTTTTCTTTACCCCAGTATTGCTGCCGGGCTCACACCTTCCTCTCCATATCAGCTTCCCTCTAAACTTGAGTTTAAAGAAAAAACAAACAAAACCAAAAGGCTGTTTGCCGCCAGGGGGCAGGATAGGGACACTTTTGCAGTGGCTGGGATGACAGGGTAGAAATTTGAATGGGAGAGATTAGCCTTCCCAAGAGGCCAAAGATGATTCCTGTTTGACAAACAATATTCAGAAATAAGGGATCCAGCCCACCTGACAGGCCCACAGTCACCTCACCGGAAAGCATTTGGATCACAGTTTACATGCTGCTGTTTGGCTTTTGCCACCCCATGAGTGAGTGACCATGGGACAGTCTTTTGTTTTAGGCATGCCAGGGATTCAACACCTCCCACCCTGCCCCTGTTACTGTTGCTGCGGGCCAGCCAAGCACACCATTACGGAAATAAAGTAGGGATGAGGTGGGGAAACTGTGAGAAGGGAGTGCAGTGGTGGCTGGGTGCTTGGGACAAGGTAGGAAGTGGGAACCAGGGGCCATCTGTTCTAAAGTTAACCCTTTACCCCATCTGGTCTGAGCTGCTTCTCTGAGTGGTGTCAACAATAGTATGGGCAAGGACATGACATGAAACTTCTCCAACTGAAGACCAACAAGCTGGGTCGTGGAAGAAGGGCTCTTGGACCAGTAACTACTGATAGGGAGGAGCAGGGTGGAGGAAGATAGCGTGGGGCTCTGGGGCTTTGGAGTGAGCACCAAAGACTTTACCATCAGCCTGAAGTGTATCCAGTGCTGCACACAGACAGGTATCTCTGGGGTCAGTAGTGCTGGGATATTGAGGGTGACACCTTTTGAGGGGAGAGCCACCAAACACAGGGATGTTCACATTTGGCTTAGGCTTGCAGGTGCCCATTTATGAACCATCCAAGCGTTCAGCTTGTGTTTGAGTGCCAGGCACTGTTCTAAGTGCTGGAGATGCAGCAGTGACGAGCCCAGGCCCCTCTCCTCGTGGAGCTGAAAGACTGAGCATGCCATGCACGGTTCCCGAGGGTCACTCGTCAGGGTAGGTGGAGTCAAGCATATCCATTTCCATGACCAGAAAAGCAGGGTCACACCTTACTAAATTCAAGTCCATGAGATCTTCATAAAAGAGCATAAATAACATCATAGCTGGGTTTTTAGTATTCAGTTTCTCTCTAAATTAGCTAAAGATATTTAAGGATCGGCAAGAAAGTTGCTGGTATAAATGCTTTATGAACTTTAATTAGAGGTTCAGCCTGGGTATGATTTAGGACTTTAGACAGGAGTGTGGGACAGAACAGGAGTTTTGTGGTAAATGTTGTAAAAAGTGCTTCCTAGGATGTAGGCGTGTACGTGCACAGCTGTAGGTTCCTTGAATTGTGTGTAGCGTTTCCACAAATAAGTTGTTTGTCATGTGTGTGCTGGGTACTGCTGATGGTTCCCTGTGTAGTCTGGTTTCTCCTCACACTCCCCTGCCCCTCCTTGCCTTCTGTCAGTATGTTCCACTGATGTTATAGTATATACAGCAAAACTAGATGACCCTCGTGCCCCGGCCCCCTCGGGTGGGGGCTCTCGACTTCCATCTCATCTTAGTTCAAAAACTTGAGCTGTCTAGCCCCCACTGAATGTCCCATGAAAACTGGCCTGGTCTGCTGTCTCCAAGGTGACTGGACAGGGCAGAAGAACTGGGACCGTGCAGAGTCCTTGTTCCTCCTGCCGCTGACACAGAGACACCCAGCAGCCTGCTCCGTCTGCTCTCGTCTCGCCATGGGCTCCGCCACGGGATGCCTGTGGCTCCGCCGTTTGATGGGTGTTTTTAACTTTCACTTGGATGAAACTTGTTTATCATTTTAAATAAAGCAACTTGATTTAGAGTTGGGTTTTTTGCATTGTTTTATTCTTGTTTCTTCTCGTTATTCATCTGTTACTCATCCGATATTCATCCGGTATCCAGTAGTGGACACAGAATGTAGCTAAGTTGCAGTGGGCCCCCTTAAATGTATACTTTCAAACAAGGAAGGGGACAAAAAAGAAGGCCCACTTTGGCCGAAAGCCCCCCCAGGGGTCAAAAGCCAGTAGCTGAGATAGGAGCCCCATTCCACGTTTTATAGTTAACAGGGCATTCTTCACCAGCCACCACTGAAATTCCTTGTGCTGGTACCCCTTACTATTATGGGGAGTAACAGGACTAAGCCCCCCCTCCTCCTGGAAGCCTGCTGGTCATAACTGGAGCTCAGGAAGAAGCCTGAGCACATATTTGTGTCTTCCATGTAAACAGTACTCCATCTAGCTTCTTGGCTTGCACCAGATACCAGCTCAGGCACTGTAGTATTTCCAAGAAAGCAATGAATGTATCCTAAGCAAAAACTGGCACCCTGTTTTTTCACCTGGTGTCTGACAGATGTTGCCCTGTGTTTATTGGAAGTGGTAAAGACAATTTTTTTTTGGTTACAGCATATCTATCTCAAACAAGCACAACAGAAGGAAGGGTCTGGAGAAACAAAAACAGTGGACTTCCCTTCATTCTACCCTCCCATACACTTGAGAATTACTCCAAGAGGAAAAGTCAGCAGGGGAGCAGAGTTACTCTAAGGCAACTGGAGCTGAATTCCAGAAAGCAGCCTTTGGGGGGCAGCCACGTTACAATAAGGCTTGTGTTGAAGGCTGCTGGGTCTCAGGCCGGAAGGGGTATTCACCGGCCAGGAACTGGAAGTGTTCCCCGAAAATGCTGTGGACGGGTCTGGAAGTGGTCGAGAGTGAGCGGAGTTAACGTTTGCTTTTCATGGTCTTGCAGGTAGTCCGGTGCCACGGTTTAGGTGAGCCTCCCTAGCCTTACAGGGCCTCAGCATTCCCCAACCTGCGGTTCCAAAGTGCTGGACCTTCTGTACAGGGCGGAAATGATGCCGAAAATGACGGTCAATCTAAGGGCGCCAGAGGAAAGAGCTTTTCAGGCTGATTTTCAAAACAAATCGAAGCGCAAAGCGTCAGGCCTGCCCGGTGCAGGGCGGGGCTGGCCCTCCGGAGCGCCGCCGCAAGGGTCCGGGCCCTGGTCCCCCAGCCGCAAAGCCACCCCCGGGGGCCCGAGGGGGCGGGGCGCGGGCAAGGGCTCCGCCCCGGGGCGGGGCGCGGGCGGGGCGCGGCGGGCTCCCTCGGGGTCCCTGCGGGCGGGCACTCGGGCGGCCGCGGCGCGATGGAGGCGCCGGCCGAGCTGCTGGCCGCGCTGCCAGTGCTGGCCACGGCGCTGGCGCTGCTGCTCGCCTGGCTGCTGGTGCGGCGCGGGGCGGCCGCGAGCGCGGAGCCCGTGTCCCCGGCCAAGGTCCCCGGGACTCCCGCACCGCCCGACCCCTGCGCCCCAGAGCCGGCGGCCGCGCCGGAGGGCCCGGGGGAGCTCGAGGGGCCAGGGGAGCGCGAGGCGGCACCGGCAGAGGCGGAGGAGCAGGCCGCCGAGGCCAGGCAGGTAGGGACCCGGCCCTCCCGGGCGCCCCTCCCCACCCCGGGGCCCGCCTCCCCCTCCCCCCAGCTCAAGCAGGACCAGGGACCGGGTCCCCAGCCCCCCACCCCCCGGGAGCGCAGAGCCCGCGAGCAAACTCGCCATCCTGACCCCCAGAAGTGTCGGCGAGCGCCGAGCCTGTTGGAGTTGTGTAGTGTGTTCTGCTCGCGGTCCACTTCCCGGCCCCGGCCCCGGCTCCCTCCGCCCCTGGCTCGGGTCACACCCACCCCTCGCCCCGCACCCCTCCAGCCGACGGATTCCCGGATCCACGTGCATGTGGCTTATTTCAAGGTCTGCAATAATGAGAGTTGTCTGGATAACGAAAAAACAGTCATACTTTAAAAAAAAGCTGATTTTTCTTGTTAAGCCAATGTGAAATCCAGATTCCAGAGCCAGTGAGGTGGGAAGCGCATAGGGCGGGGCCAAAAGAAGAAGCCTTGCACAAATGCAGTCATTTTTATTGTCGTTTTCAAAGTGCACACGTGCTTTGGCACATCTCCCCTGGGCTTGCAGATGAGCCTGGCCTGGATGGAGTGGAGGAGAAGATAAAGCCCTCCTACAGGGCTGCTGAGCACCCCCAAACTGACCCTCCTGCTTCTGCCCCAAGCCCACTCCCTGCGGTCCATCAGCTCTGTCCTGACCACACGCCTTGCTTCAGGACATCCAGAGAGATGTGCAGCCATCCCACCAGCCCCATACGCTTTTTCCAGTGCTTCTCTTTACATTGGAAACTTACTGGCCAGGCATGAGACACATTGCTAGGATTTCAGCACCCTTGACCTCTGCAGGCTACCACCCAGGGCCCCGAGTCAGATCTGAACGCCTTGTTCTTAGTCCCGAGCCCCTTTTCCTGCAGCGGAGAATGGCTGGAGCAGTACAAAGCTTGGGTGCCTTGTCAGTGTATCCGCAGTGCCTTTTTGAATTTTGCTGGACACGGTGGTTTACACGGGAGAGAACCCTTGAGGGGAAAAGGCAGTGAGGCTGGGCCAGGGCCTTTCTCTTTGCTGAGTAAGTGTATGGGGGACCCCTCTGAGCAGGCGCTTTTGTTTGACAAGTGGGTGACTAATTGTGTCATGAGAGCCGATTCTCACCAGCCTGAGGAGGGCTGTTGTAATCCTCCCGGGGAGGACAGACACTCGCTTTAATGGAGGCCCAGCTGCTCTTGCTAACCTCACCCGTGATGATGGCAGGAAGGGTTTTGGACCTGTGCTGATATGTTAGGTTGGCTCCCATATTTGGGATTCTGGCTGCACTCACAGCCTCCTGGGCACAGGAGAGACATCGGGCCATTCTCAGCCTGCCCCTAGCTCTCAGCCAGCCTTGCTCCTATGGGTCACGCAGGGCAGCAAGTTCCAGACTGAAGTTTGCAATGCCTGTTCGTGGCTGTCTGTCATGTCTTGATCCTCTGGGTAACAGCACTTCTGAGAGAGCTTCCTACAAGGCCTGTGGGCCCTCAGCAATTCGAGATCTGGTGGGGTGGGTTCAGTGTTGTTGGACAAGAGCCGCCCGCCAGAGCACGATTTGCCTCTGTCAGGAAAATGCACGTCCTGTGGGGGTGAGTGGGTGCTTTGGAGGACAAAGCACATCACAGGGTTCACATGCGGGGCAGCTGCCAGTTGACTCTGAGAGTTGAGCCTGTGTCTGTCCTCCCTGTGCGACATCTTGTCCTGAGATTATCCCAACGTAAGCGTTCCGTTTAAGTCAATTTCCTCACTTGGGGCTCTTGCCTTGCTCTTGTGGGTTCAGATCCCCAACCCTTGCTGAGTTGCTGAGCCCCCCTCAACTCCAGCTGGCAAACAGTAAATCGTGGCTGTGCCACAGGCCCTGGGGGTCAGATGCTGGGGGGACACATATCACTGTCCCCCACTACTATGCCTTCCCAGTGGTGGGATTAGCCCTGGAAGAGCTGCTAAGAAATTGTCTGGATATGGAATGGCGCATTTCCGAGATCTGATAATCATATTGCCAAGCCCGAGTCCGAACCCAGAGAGCTGGTAGAAGGACCCTGGGGAAAGGGGGGGGGGGGGCGGGGGGGGGGGGGGGTAGGGACAGAGCAGCCACCTTGCCTAACTAATGGCGCTTCTTCTGATCCAATCATCTTTCTGCCCGGCCAGGCCTGGGAGGCCCAGGGCAGCTGCTGCCTCTGATTCACAAAGCTGATTATTGAGAAGGATCCGGAGCCCAGGGAAGCAGCCTTCCACCACAGGAAGCAGCCTTCCACTGCAGCTCTGGGTCACTGGGAAGCAGCCCCACGGGGAGCAAAGTAGTGTGATGGGCTGAGACACTGGGCAGCCACTGAAGAAATGGGGGGTGATCAGCCGGCCAGGGCAGGGAGGCCAAGCAGAGGGCAGAGCTCTATTATTAGAACCTCTTTCTTGTCATGTTTCCTAGGGGTGAGTGTGGGGGTGGGCAGCCGCAGAAGCATGACAGGCATGCCGCACCCTCACAAAGAATCAGGGCCAACAATGTCACAAATAAGAGCTGGTCCCTTTTAAGGCCAGGAAACAGTGCGTTTTGGTGCTGATGTGTAGGCTGCAATTCTGGGATGGCCAAGCTTCTTATTAGATGCAGATATGGATTACAGCAAGGCTCTGTCATAGGATTCCCAAACAGTGGTCAAGGTGAAGGTCAAGGGTTACTCAAATAGTACTAGAGTTACGTCTGTGCCAGAACTCGGACTTCTTGGCACTCAGGTCCTCGCTCTGCTCAGCAACCGAGTAGGGACAATGACACGGAACACAGAACAGGCAGGGAGATTCATCTAGATTAAAGACTAAAGAGACAAGACAGGCAAATGTGATGCCTGATCCTTGATTGGATTCTGGATTAGGGTGGGGGTGGGGAGCTATAAAGAACATCTTGCAGATTAACTGGAGTTGTTTCAAAGGAATGGCTTATTAGATCATTTTTATTGTATGGATGCTCAGTTTCTTGCATGTGATGCTGGCGTTGTGATTATGTAGAAACGTATCCTTGTTATTAGGAAGATGCATGCCCGGGGCACCTGGGTGGCTCAGTCAGTTAAGCGTCTGCCTTTGGCTCAGGTCATGATCCCAGGGTCCTGGGATCGAGCCCCGTGTCGGGCTCCCTGCTCCGCGGGAAGCCTGCTTCTCCCTCTCCCACTCCCCCTGCTTGTGTTCCCTCTCTCGCTGTGTCTCTCTCTGTCAAATAAATAAATAAAATCTTTAAAAAACAAAATAAAAGGGAAGATGCATGCCCATTTAGGGACAACGTGTCACGATTCTAACAGTCACACATATAAGCACACACAAGAGAATGGAATGATGGTAAAATGTTAACAATTGGTGAATCTAGGTGAAGGGTATATGAGTGTTCATTGTTTTATTCTTCCAATTTTTCTGTAGGTTGGAATTTCCCAAAATACAATGTTGGAGAGTACACTTATCTTGATGAGCACTGAGAAATGTATAGAATTGTTGAATCATTATATTGTATACCTGAAACTTTTATAACACTGTATATTAATTATACTTGAAAAAAAAATACAGTGTTGGAAAAAAGAAACCCGGTGGGGAATTTCTCAGGAAAGGGCTTGGTTTTTCAGACACTCCGGTGGTGTTGGTCTGATTGGGCTGCCCAGCCTCCTCTGGCAGCCCTCATTATGCAGCTGGACCCTGGTTCACCTTTTTTTTTTAAGATTTTATTTATTCATTTGTCAGAGAGAGAGCACAAGCAGGGGGAGCAGCAGAGGGAGAGGGAGAAGCAGACGCCCCGCTGAGCAGGGAGCCCGATGCGGGACTCGATCCCAGGACCCCAAGATCATGACCTGAGCCGAAGGCAGACGCTTAACCAACTGAGCCACCCAGGCGCCCCCCTGGTTCCTGCTGTTAGGTCCAAGCTGCGTCCCCTACCCTCACCATCCCTGTCACCACAGGTGTGCCCCGGTGCCCCCCACCCCCTGCAGAGGCCACAGAATCATTTAGGAGCAGGTGAGTCCCCTCCCCCATCATCTGTTCCAACCTTCGTGATGCCAACATGGCCCCACTTTCTATTCTCTTAACAAAAGCACAGAATCCAGCTAGCGGAGGGCCAAATAGATATTTGGCAGTTGTTCATATCACTTTGGAATCTTGTCTCAGTCAGCTTGGGCTGCTATAACAAAATACCACAGACTGGGACTCTTAAAACAGTAGACGTTTATTTCTCACAGCTCTGGAGGTTGGCAAGTCCAGGATCAAGGTGCCAGCCAATTCAGTTCCCAGTAAGAGCTCACTTCCTGGCTCACAGGCAGCCGCCTTCAGGCTGTGTCCACACATGGTGGAGAGAGAGTTCTCTGGTCTCTCTTCCTCTTCTTATAAGGACAATAATCCCATCCTGGGGGCCCCACTCTCAGGACCTCATGGTACCCTAATTACCTCCAAAGGCCCCACCTCCAAATACCATCACACTGGAGCTTAGGGCTTCAACATATGAATTTGGGGAGGATACAGACTTTCCATCTATAGCAGGTCTAGTGATTTGCTGGGAAGGAAACTGGGAATAGCCCAAATGTCCATTAATAAGGACATTGGATTAATTAGCAAGTTGGTAGAAATAAGTGAGGAAAAGTGCAGAACGTAAAACAGTAATTACAGTGATGAACATCCCTGAACAGAGAACGATGCCCAGAGCTGCAAACAAGCGTTCAGTGTTCGGTAGTGCAAGAGGGTGTTTTATGTGAAGTCGTTTAAGCTCATACTTTTTTTTTTTTCCATGTGAGAAAGAAGTCTGGGGACTTTCCTAATGGCTCAACTTTGTTCTTTCTTCCAGAGATAGTCTTGTTTGCACCCAGAAAATGTAGCTGCCAGTTAGAATTTTCTACTCAGTGGGAAGTAGTAAATTTTTAAAGGACATATCCTAAGAAAAAAGCTGTCTAGGTTTGGAGGGTTAGAAAGGAAACGTGGAGCATACGCCCTTTCAGACAGTCTCTGTGTGTAGCCCTGTTCTTTCCCAGACCGTCGGCCTCA